CACTATCCTCGTAAAAACTCTTCACTGCTTTCAGTAACCTACCTCCTACACCATACACCTGCAACATCTGCCACATTGCCCCCTATCCACCCTGTCAAACGCCTTTTCCAAATCCATAAATGCCACAAAGGCCTCTTTAGCCTTATCTAAATATTGTTCACTTATGTGTTTCACTGTAAACACCTGGTCCACACACCCCCTACCTTTCCTAAAGCCTCCTTGTTCATCTGCTATCCTATTCTCCGTCTTACTCTTAATTCTTTCAATAATAACTCTACCATACACTTTACCAGGTATACTCAACAAACTTATCCCCCTGTAATTTTTGCACTCTCTTTTGTCCCCTTTGCCTTTATACAAAGGAACTATGCATGCTCTCTGCCAATCCCTAGGTACCTTACCTTCTTCCATACATTTATTAAATAATTGCACCAACCACTCCAAAACTATATCCCCACCTGCTTTTAACATTTCTATCTTTATCCCATCAATCCCGGCTGCCTTACCCCCTTTCATTTTACCTATTATCTAATTAATGATAATTGCTTCAATTACCTAACTTTTACATCAATATGCAATAATGTATATTAAAATGTACTGCTCCATAACCTGTGCCAATACAGAGTAAGAATTAGGATTAGTCTGCCTGAAATGCCTAGGCATGCTAGTGGCTTTCTTTGTAATTAGTATTTTATAATATGTAAACCACACATCGTAAGCTTTGCAAGGAAATAAGGAAGTAAGGAAGAACACTCATGAGTCGTCGAGACTTCCTAAGGTAAAAGAGAAGAGAAAGTTCCAGGGTGGACATAAAGAGGAGGCAAATTAGGGAAAACCAGTAGAGAGTAAATATGGAGAGGAAAGAGGTATAATAAATAGGAACGGCAACTAACATCTGTTACCGCCCTGTATGTAGAAGGATCATGAAGGTCATAAGAGCGGATGAAATAATAAGAGACAATGGACTCTGTACTCATCTTACAAAGATGGAGCATTTGATTTTGCATATAAGCTCTCAGCTGGGGAAGAACGAAAAGCCCCAAGACAAATGTAACCCATGGTGATGAATAGGATCAAGTTGGGAGAGTAATGGGGAGACTGCAGAATACAGGTGATCTATGTCAAATTCAGAATTCAAATTCAAATATTTATTTCTTTGTATAGTAATAGTAGTAGTACAATTTGGGTGATATGAAGATTCCCCCCAAGTAAGATGAGTTAAAATTTTAAGGAGGTTAAAGTGGCTATGGCAAGAAACTTTCAGGGAGGTTAAGACTGTGCTAAGATCTGAGAGATTCATACCAGAAACCTATTCTGTACTACAAAAATGTAATTAGTACTAAAAAAAATGGTTAATATAAGGGTTTACATACCAAAAAATTATATAGTATGAGACAACTCTGAAGTTCTGATATGAAAAATATGTTGCAAATGAGAGAGGGAGAGAGAGAGAGGTGAAAGTTTACAAACTATAGGAGGAGGTAGTTAGGGTAAGATATAAACAACTATTAGTAGAAAGATGGGCTAGTGAGAGTATAGGCAGTGAGATTGAAGAGGTATGGGGCAGATTTAAGAATGTAGTGTTAGTGTTCAGCAGAAGTTTGTGATTACAGGAAAGTGAGTGCAGGAAGAAAGAAGAGCGACTGGTGGAATGAGGAGGTAAAGGGAGTAGTAAGAAAGAAAAAGTTAGCATACGAGAGGTTTTTACAAAGTAGAGTGATAAAAGGAGGGAGGAGTGTATGGAGAGAAAAAAAAAGGTTAAGTGAGTAGTGAAGGAATATAAGAGGAGAGCAAATGAGAGTGGGTGAGATGTTATCAATAAATTTTGTTGAGAATAAGAAAATGGTTTGGAGATTAATAAGTTGAGAAACCCTAAGAAACAAATGGATTTGACAGTTAAAAATAGAAGAGGAGAGTTATTAGATGGAGAATTGCAGGTGTATCGGGAAGATAGAAGGAATATTTTAATTATTATTATTATAATCATGGGGAAACACTAAACCCATAGGATTATACAGCACCTGTGGGGGGATGGCAGGTATTCAGGCTTAATTCAGGGAACTGGAGCACGAATACAATTTCCTGGATCAAGACCCCCCTCACCAGCATCAAGGAACCTCCCTTGAGGGGGTGGGAATATTTTGAGGAACTGCTAAATGATGAAGATAGGGAAGCTGTGATTTCATGCATTAGTCAGGTAGGTATAACAACTTTTAGAAGTGATGGAAAGCCAAATGTGAGCATGGGGTGATATGTGAAGCTGTGAGTAGAATGAAAGGGGGTAAAGCAGCTGGAACTGATGGGATCAAGACAGAAATGTTAAAAGCAGGTGGGGGTATAGTTTTGGAATGATTGGTGCTTTTATTTAATAAATGTATGAGAGAGGGTAAGGTACCTAGGGATTACAGAGAGCATGCATAGTTTTTTGTTTAAAAGCAAATGGAACAAGAGAGTAAGAATTATAGAGAAAAAGCCTGTTGAGTATACCTGGTAAGGTGTATGGTAGAGTTATTATGGAAAGAATTAAGAGAAAGATGGAAAGCAGGATTACAGATGAACAAGAAGGCTTTAGGATGGGTAGGGGATGTGTAGACCAAGTGTTTACAATGAAGTATATAAGTGAACAGTATTTAGATAAAAGTACAGTGGACCCCCGCATAACGATATTATTTCAATCCAGAAGTCTGTTTGGGTGCCGTTACAGACCGAATTTGTTCCCATAAGAGATACTGTGAATTAGATTAGTCCGTTTCAGACCCCAAAAATACACCTACAAAAGCACTTACAAAAATACACTTACATAATTGGTTGAGTTGGGAGCTGATCGTTATGCGGGGGTCCACTGTACATGTAATGAGATTTTTCTTGCATTTATGGATTTGGAAAATGCACATGATAGGGTGGATAGGGAAGCAATGTGGCAGATTGCAAGTGTTTGGAATAGGTGGTGAGTTACTGACAGCAGTTTAAGATTTTACAAGAATGTTGAGGCTCAGGTTAGGGTGTATAGGAGAGAGGGATATTATTTTCCAGTAAAAGTAGGCCTTAGATGGATGCATGATGTCACCATGGATGTTCAGTATATTTATAGGTGGAGTTGTCAGAGAAGTGAATGTTCAGGTGTTGGCAAGAGTGGGATTGAAAGATAAAGAATCTAACAGAATCTAACACAAAGCAAGAATTGTCACAGTTGATTTTTGCTGATGACATTGTGCTCTTGGGAGATTCTGAGAAATTGCAGAGGTTGGTGGACGAATTTGGGAGGGTGTGTAAAATAAGTAAATCGAAAGTGTACATAGGAAAGAGGAAGGTGATGAGAATAAAAAAAAAAATAGTTAACAAAAGAATGGATATTAGACTGGAGGGAGTATAAAGGAAGTGAATATGTTCATACATTTGGGAGTTGATGTGTCAGCAGATGGGTCTACGAAAGACGAGGTGAACTGTAGAATTGACAAGGGGAAAAAGGCAAGTGGTACACTGAGGAGTCTGTGGAGACAAAGGACTGCATCCATGGAAACAAAGAGGGTAATGCATGAGAAAGTGTGAGTGTTAAGCATGGGTGGCGAAGGTTGCAACGAGAAGGCTGGAGGCAGTGGAGAAGTCATGTCTGAGGGTATTGTGTGATGTGAATATTATGCTGAGAATCCATAGTTTTGAAATTAGGAGGTGCAGGGATTTCTAAAAGCATTATTCAGAGGGCTGAGGAGGGGATGTTGAGGTGTTTCGGAAATTCAGAGAGGATGGGACAAAATAGAATGACTTCGAAGGCATGTAAATCTGTAGTGGAAGGTGGGATAGGGGTTGTCCTATGAAAGGTTGGAATTGGAAAACGAGGTTTTGTGTGCGAGGGGCAAGCATAAGTGAGCGTGTTTGATAGGAGTGAATGGAGACAAATGGTTTTTATGGCTTGATGTGCTGTTGGAGTGTGAACAAAGAAACATTTATGAAGGGACTAAGGAAAACCGGTTAGCCAGACTTGAGTCCTGAAGGTGCAAAGTACAATGTCTGCACTTTGAAGGATGGGTGGAGATATGTTGCAGTTTTTGAACTGTAGTGTCACCATGCCTCTGGCAAGACTGTGACGGAGTGAATGATGATGATGATGATGATGATGAAAGCATTTCTTCTTTTTCCAGTTACGATGCCTTGGGAAAAAACGGCAAATGTGTTAATAATTATTATCATAATCAGAGAAAGCGCTAAACTGACAAGGGTCACCTGTTAATAAAAATTTTTTTTTTTATTATGGTCATTCTGTATGAATCACTAAAATTGCAACAAAAACTGAGATCAAGGAGACAGCAGAAATAAAATGGTTAAAGATCTGGTTATTTTTATATATTCAGATTGCAAATACAAGATGTCAAAATATTTTAATAAAATTATACATAAACCACTTTTCTACCACTGTGTAAAATGGAGACGAACTTCAGTTTTTTTCTCTTGAATTTCTCTCTTTTTTTAAGCTCCAGATGAATTTGCAAGCTTAAGTGAGTAAACCCATGAACCATTCTTAAATATATTTTCTCCATTAAATAACTGGGTTGGATTACAAGTGCTGGTATACCAGTAGTTACTGAACCACTGGACAACTATACCCATCAAAACGAAATAATTTGCATTATGAAAATATTACCACCACCAGAAAACAAAGTATATAAGTATATGAGAGTTTACTCTAATCTCTAATTTAGGCATTAAAATAAACATGTTAGCACACATTTAAAGTAAAGCCTTAAAGACTGTGCAATGACTGAGTTATAAACCATATAGTATAATAGTTAATAATAATATTTATACTAATAAAAATTTCATGAATAATGCAACAATTTAAAAAGCCAGTTAGCAGTGCTGTCTATTAACCTTTTCAGGGTTTCGGACGTACTAGTACGGCTTACACCCCAGGGTTTTTGACGTACTAGTATGCCTAAATTCTAGTGCCCTCAAATCTAGTGAGAGAAAGCTGGTAGGCCTACATATGAAAGAATGAGTCTATGTGGTCAGTGTGCGCAGTATAAAAAAAAAATCCTGCAGCACACAGTGCGTAATGAGAAAAAAAAAACTTTGACCGTGTTTTGGGATTAAAACAGCGACTTTGCACTGTATTTTCGTATGGTATTTATTATTGTATTCTAGTTTTCCTGGTCTCATTTTATAGAATGGAAGACATATTACAGAAATTGAGATGATTTTGACTGGTTTTACAATGAAAAGTACCTTGAAATTGAGCTCAAAGTAGCAGAAATGTTCGATTTTTACCAAAGTTCAAAAGTAAACAAATCATGCCAAGCGTCCAATACACGTCAACTGGCGAGTCTAATATTCTTTCACAAGTGCGCTGATATTATTTATACCATTTCTACACTAATGCAGTAGTCTGCATAACAGTAAATCTTCTTTTTTTTGTAAGAATAAAAATTGAAAGTGGAAAGCCAAAGAAATATAAGAGGGGCCTGGGGATGTGACTAACGAACAGAGAACTTGTTATTTTAGTGCCAGGAATGTCTTTCTTGTTTATTCTGGACCCTATTCGAAAATTGGCATCTTTTGAAATTTGTGTGAAATTGGCAAAACTGCTAAATTCTGACCACTTTATTGGATATTTGAAATCGGTAAATGGGTGGTTTCTTGTACTCATTCGATAGAAAAAATGGAGTTCTAGCGAAACAGTTATGATTTTTGTCGACTAGTACACTGGAATTGCCTGAAAATAGGGCTCAAAGTGGGCAAAATCGCCGATGCGTAAGCATTGTCGAGACCGCTAACTTTGCGAGAGCATAATTCCGTAAGTTTTCCATCAAATTTCATACTTTTGGTGTCATTATGATCGGGAAAAGATTCTCTATCTTTTCATAAGATTTTTTTTTTTTTAATTTGGCGACCCTGAGAACAAGTCTCGGAGAGGGCCTGGGGACCCTGAAAGGGTTAAAATATACAGCTCTAAATATTAGTCTAACATGAAGTCTAAAATATTAATATTTAACTAAATAACCTTTACATATTATATCTTTCATATATATAACATCATATACTTACTCTCTAGTATGGACTTTCATATGTTTTACAAGAAATGACTTCTTTCTAAAATCTTTTAAACACTCTGAACATCGATATGGTTTCTCTCCTGTATGAAGTCTCATGTGGTGCATTAAATTTGAATTATATGGAAAGGTTTTTAAACATTCTAAGCACTGATATGGCCGATCTCCTGTATGAACCCTCATGTGTTGCCTTAACTGCGATTTTTGTGCAAATTTTTTAAGACAATCTGAACATTGAAAGGGTTTCTCCCCAGTATGAACTCTCATATGTTTTGTTAGAGAAGCATGTTGAGCAAAATCTTTTAAACACTCTGAGCACTTAAATGGTTTCTCTCCAGTATGGACTTTCATATGTTGTGTAAGTGAAGAATTTTGGGAGAAGTCCTTCAGACACTCTGGGCAGTGATATGGTTTTTCACCAGTGTGAATTCGTTTATGTTTCCCAAGATCTGACTGATTTGAAAAGTCTTTGGAACACACTGAACACTGGAAAGGTTTCTCTCCTGTATGAACTCTTATATGTTTTACAAGATCAGACTGGCTTGAAAAGTTCTTTAAACATATTGAACATTGAAATGGTTTCTCTCCTGTATGAATTTTTTTATGCTTACCTAGATTTGACTGAAATGAAAAGGATTTTAAACACACAGTACATTGATATGGTTTCTCTCCTGTATGAACTGTCATATGTTTTACAAGATTTGAGTGAGTGGAAAAGCTTTTTGAACAAACAGAACATGAATATGGCTTTTCTCCTGTATGAACGCGCATATGCTGTATTAATTTTGAATTTTTGGGGAAGTTTTTGGAACACACTGAGCACTGATATACTTTTTTCTTTGTATGAACTTCCATGTTGTAATAGATACAACTTTCATAAAGGCTAAGATACAATGAACAGTGACAGGGCTACTTTCTGGAATGAGCATTTGAATAGTTAACTAGGACTTTGTTTTATATATCATGTATATATTGAACAGAAGAGATACAGTTACTCCAAAGTATGAACTCTCAAATATATAAGATATTTCACAAGTGGGAAGTACAGTGCCTGCATGCTTAAACATGGGTGAGGATGTTGCACTTCAGAGAGTCATCTTAGGGTCATCAACAGAGGGGTCATCAAAACAGTGATTGAATGAATGATGGTGAATGTGTTTCCTCTTTTGGTGAGCCACTCTTCCTCAGTGGGAACCAGCCAATATGTTAAAAAATGTAATTTCACTTATTAAATATACACATTAATTCTTTACTGAAACTCAAAATTTTTATTAGACTGAATTTACTGGGAAAATTCCAAAATGCTTTTTTTAACAGTGTTGTAGAGACTCTCTTGTATAAGCTCATATTATACACAAGAAAAAATGAAAAGCTTACAAAACAATGGTGATGAGAGTTTTATTTAGCAATATCTGCATGTTTTAATAAGAAAACTAAGAATTTCTTTTAAACAATAAATGCTGAGTCTATGTATATCAACTCTTATATAAAGTATACTCTTTGGTTTACTTAAAAAAAAACATTTAAACATTAAGAATGCTTTCAATTTTATCCATTAGTAAATATCCAGTATATTTTATGAATAACATTCTCAAAACTTAGTTCAGTTCTTTACCATGTGTGTTCTGAAATACTAAGCACTACTATATAAACAAATGTTAATATTTGTACTATATAAACTATGTGAATGCAAGTACTCTATACACTATCGTGAATGTCTGTACTCTATTAACTAATGAGAGTGTCAGTACTCTACTAACTAGTGTGAACCCACAATTTCTGGGTACAAATGGATAAACTGATAGTCTAGAATAAAAATTCTGATGTTGACAGTACACAGCAGTTGAGCACTAGGTTGTTAATGGTGAAAATACAGTAGAGCACTTGAAATGAGGATACTCTGAAAGCAATGACTCATATATAGCAACAACATACATGAAGAAGTTAAGTGATGGTCAGTGGCAGGTGTGATAGTCTGAATGTTGTGAAGTGATGATCAGTGGCAGGTGTGTTTGTGTGACAGTCTGGATGCTTTAGTCACTGTTAATATAATAATTATAAATAAGAACTTCTGACACTGTGGAGTGATTTAAGATACAGTATACATCTCCAGTATAAACAATCATTAACAACTTCTGATGCTGTAGTGTACTTCATGATGCAGTATACACTGGCTGTATTAACTCTTTAACAACTTCTGATACTGTGGTGTGCTTCTTGATGCACTATACATCTACATTGTCTGTCAGTTACATTAACCGTTTTGACACTGGAATTACAGTTCTCCAGGTGAAAGGCTGACCTGAAAAATGAAGGAATAAGGGAATTATTAAACTTAAATTCTTCTAATATTCAACATCTTTGAATTTTTGTTAACCTTTGGCACTAACATTTACAGTTTTAATACATAAATAGTAACAAAGAACTGAACATGAGATAATAAAAGGAGACAGACAACTTATTGACAGTGGAGACAGGAAGGACCCCTGGAATTCAGAATAGGGAGGTACACCAACAAGTGCTGGATGAAATACACACAACCAAGGAGGAGGTGGAGAAGCTGCCATGTGAACTCGATACCTCAAAGGCGGTGGGACCAGACATCTCTCTATGGGTCCTTAGAGAGGGAGCAGAGATGCTGTGCGTGCCACTAACAAAAATCTTCAACACATCCAGTGAAACTGGGCAACTATCTGAGGTACAGAAGATGGCAAATGTAGTCACAATTTTTAAGGAAGGAGACAGACACGAGACATTAAACTACAGACCTGTGTCACTGACGTGTATAGTATGCAAAGTCATGGAGTAGATCATCAAGAGGAGAGTGGTGGAGCACCTAGAAAAACACAAGCTTATTAACGACAAATAGCACGGTTTCAGGGAAAGAAAATCCTGTGTCACAAACTTACTGGAGTTTTATGACAAGGTAACAGAAGTAAGACACAAGAGAGAGGGGTGGATAGACTGCATTTTCTTGAACTGCAAGAAGGCCTTTGACACAGTTCCTCAGGCCTGATCCTCTAGCATAAGCTAGAGGATCAGGCATGCATAACAGGAAGGCACTGCAATGGATCAGAGAATATCTGACAGGGAGGCAACAACAGTGCATTAGTGTCTGCAATAAAGCTAACAGAATTCTTGGCTTCATATCTAGAAGTATAAATAATAGAAGTCCTCAGGTTGTTCTTCAACTCTATATATCCTTGGTTAGGCCTCATTTAGACTATGCTGCTCAGTTCTGGTCACCGTATTACAGAATGGATATAAATGCTCTGGAAAACGTACAAAGGAGGATGACAAAGATGATCCCATGTATCAGAAATCTTCCCTATGAGGATAGACTGAAGGCCCTGAATCTGCACTCTCTCGAAAGGCGTAGAATTAGGGGGGGTATGATCGAGGTGCATAAATGGAAAACAGGAATAAATAAAGGGGATGTAAATAGTGTGCTGAAAATTTCCAGCCAAGACAGGACTCGCAGCAATGGTTTCAAGTTGGAAAAATTCAGATTCAGGAAGGATATAGGAAAGTACTGGTTTGGTAATAGAGTTGTGGATGAGTGGAACAAGCTCCCGAGTACAGTTATTGAGGCTAAAACATTGTGTAGTTTTAAAAATAGGTTAGATAAATACATGAGGGGTGTGGGTGGGCGTGAGTTGGACCTGACTAGCTTGTGCTGCTGGGTCTGGTACAGTGCTCCATCCTTGAGTGGGGATGACCAGACTGGGTGGGTCATTGGTCTAATCCGGGGGGTGGGTCATTGGTCTAATCCGGGGGGGGGGGCGCATGGACCTGCTCCGCATAGGTCAGTAGGCCTGTTGCAGTGTTCCTTCTTTCTTATGTTCTTATGAGTCATGGTACGTGATGAGGTGTCAGAGTGGGCACCTGTGATGAGCGGGGTTCCACAGGGGTCAGTCCTAGGACCTGTGCTGCTTTTGGTACATATATGTGAATGACATAACAGAAGGGATAGACTCAGAAGTGTCCCTGTTTGCAGATAATGTGAAGCTAATGAGGAGAATTAAATCAGTCAAGGCTCAGGCAGGACTACAAAGAGACCTGGAGAGGCTACAAGCCCGGTCCAGCAACAGGCTCCTTGAATTTAACCCCGCCAAATGCAAAGTCATGAAGATCAGGGAAGGGCAAAGAAGACCGCAGACAGAGTATAGTCTAGGTGGCCAAAGATTGCAAACCTCACTCGAGGAAAAAGATCTTGAGGTGAGTATAATACCAAATACATACATTTCCTGAGGCACACTTCAATCAGATAACTGCTGCAGCATACGGGTGTCTGGCAAACCTAAGAATAGAGTTCCAACAGCTCAGTAAGGAGTCATTCAAGACTCTGTACACCATATACATCAGGCCCATATTGGAGTATGTAGCACCGGTTTAGAATCCACACCTGGTCAAGTACGTCAGGAAATTAGAAAAAGTGCAAAGGTTTGCAACAAGATTAGTCCCAGAACTAAGGGAATTGTCCTACGAAGAAAGGTTACGGGAAACTGGCCTGATGACACTGGAGGACAGGAGGGTCAGGGGAGACAAATGATAACAACATATAAAATACTCTGTCTATCTCTGTTTCTATTTCACAGGTACACATAAATACAGTTACACATAGTGTAAATTACCTAGGATTACTAAAAAAATCCAGACAAAGTGCTATACTATGCTTGTAGATATAAGGCATAATAAGCATGACTGGCAAGTAATACTCATTTTCATTTGTTCAGGAATCGGACGTGGCCGACTCTGCATCATGTGTAATACCTGCTGGTTCAGGAGCGGCTCCCTCTCTGAGACAAAGAGACAAGTAGAGAGACAGGAAGACAAACACAGGAAGACAGAAAGATAGATAAGCAGAGACAGAGATAAACAAAGACAGAGGTAGACAGACAAACAGTAACAGATAGACAGAAACAAACAGATAGATATGTTTTGTAACAGTGAAAAATAAATCCAATGCAGTGCACAATCATCAAATGTCACTCCAAGAGTGATGCTCCACTGGCAGTGGAGTGACAGACATATAAACAGAAACAAACAGATAGACATGTTTATGTGTAACAGTGAAAAATAAAGCCAAGGCAGTGCACGATCATCAAATGTCATTCCACGAGTGTCTCTCCACTGGCAGTTTACCTGGAGAGAGAGTTTACCTGGAGAGAGTTTCGGGGGTCAACGCCCCCGCGGCCCGGTCTGTGACCAGGCACTCATCTTACACCATGCTTCAAGGAGTTTCATATATACTCCAGCATTTCTAAAACATTGCTGGGACCTGGCAAAAAAGGCAAAAGTCATTTCTTATTTATAAGTGCCTGCACTCTGAAGGAGGGGTGTTAATGTTGCAGTTTAAAAACTGTAGTGTAAAGCACCCTTCTGGCAAGACAGTGATGGAGTGAATGATGGTGAAAGTTTTTCTTTTTCGGGCCACCCTGCCTTGGTGGGAATCGGCCAGTGTGATAATAAATATAAAATAATTTTTATTTAAAATCCCATAACAAAAAAAAAAAATTTGGGTGTTTTTTTGTGGGCTGGAAAGGATTAATGGCATTTCAATTAATTTCAATGAGGAAAATTTATTTGATATACGAGCCAATTGAGTTATGAGCCGAGTCACAGAACGAATTAAACTCGTAAGTCAAGGTACCACTGTATTATCATGTCTCTCTCCTCCACTCCAGAAAGTATATATTTAGGACTTAGAGGTGTTCTCAGTAATTTAGATGATGTACTGTCTGTATGAAGGCCATATATGATCTCTGTATCTGTTCCAGCTATGATATCACTCCTGTTCCAAGCAAGAGAATACAAATGATTTCAAAAGTGTGATTTTTGTCAGATTTGTGTGATAATAAACAACGTGCCCTCCCTTACCTTGAATCAGATCTGACTGCCTTCCATTTCCCTCAGTGTGGTATGACCCATATGGGTTAAGTGCTCTTTCCAGTCAGAATAAGAAAAATCTATCATAATGAAGCATCGTGACAATTGGAGTTCATTGTCTTTTGGCAGGGCTTAGCCCAAAACTCCTAAACTGTAAAGCTTAGAACACAACCTTACAATTGTTGGGCTTGGTGAACAACAGCCAAATTGTGGGCCTTGGGGAATGACCCTTTTATTGTGGGGCTTGGAAAAAGACTCCTAAATTGTGAGACTTGCAAAAGGACTCCTAAATTGTGAGACTTGGAAAAGGACTCCTAAATTGTGAGGCTTAGAGAACAAACCCTTAAACTGGACATGCAAAATCTTTCAATATAATTGGCTTCAGGACTTGCTGTGTCTCCAGTACCCCTAATCTTCGCAAATTACAGGGTTTAACGGTACTCGATTTTGAAGTGAATGAGTGCAGCTACTATATATAAGAATTTTGGAAAAACATTCAAATAACTAAATATAATGTACAACAAAATAAATATTAATTTTACCACTGAAATCAGATATTGATACTGTGCAGCTTCATAAATCTGGCAACTGGATGTGATATATAGAATGCTGCAAAAACTCAAGAGCTCCAATTTTTTTTTTATTTTTATTAACACATCGACCATTTCCCACCAAGGTAGGGTAGTCCGAAAAAGAAAAACTTTCACCATTATTCATTACATCACTGTCTTGCCAGGGGCGCGCTTACACTACAATTATAAAACTGTAACATTAACACCCCTCTTTCAGAGTGCAGGCACTGTACTTCCCATCTCCAGGACTCAAGTCTGGCCTGCCAGTTTCCCTAAATCCCTCCATATATATTACCCTGCTCACACTCCAACAGCACGTCAAGTCCTAAAAACCATTTGTCTCCATTCGCTATCTAACACGCTCATGCATGCTTGCTGGAAGTCCAAGCACCTCGCACACAAAATCTCTTTTACCTCCTCCCTCCAACCTTTCTTAGGCAAACCTCTACCCTGCCTCCCCTCCACTACAGATTAATACACTCTTGAAGTAATTCTATTTTGTTCCACCCTCTCTACATGTCTAAACCATCTCAATAATGCCTCCTTAGCCCTTTGGATAATAGTTTTGGTAATCCCACAATTCCACCTAATTACCAAACTACGAATTCTCTGCATTATATTCACATCACACATTGCCCTCAGACATGACATCTCCACTGCCTCCGGCCTTCTCCTTGTTGCAACATACACCACCCATGCTTCGCACCCATATAAGAGCGTTGGTATAGCTATACTCTCATACATTCCCCTTTTTGCTTCCATGGACAAAGTTTTGTCTCCACAGACTCCTCAGTGCACCACTCACCTTTTTCCCCTCATCAATTCTATGATTCACCTTATC